CCCCCCGGGGCAGGTGTCCTCATGAGCATGACCACATCCCAGCCCAGAAGGGGCGAGGGCAGTGGTGGGCTGGCAGCTTCCTATCGAGAACACAAGGAGACACTGCCCACACCACTTCTCAAATTCCAGGGCTGAGAATTTGGTCTTGTGGTCCCCCTTACCTGCAAGAGAGGCTGGGGCGTGCCATCCATTCCCAGGTGGCCATGTGCCCAGTATCTGGAGGGACAACCTCCATTTGGCAGCAAGAATGAAGGCAACCCGGCACGTCTTAGTGTGGGCTCCCTGTGGTGGAGAGCGTGGACTTCCTGGGGCTGCTGTCGCTAATTACCAGCATCCTGGGTTCAAGTCACATCTCTGGGCCAAAACCAAGGAGCCAGCAGGGCCACACCCACCACAGAGGCTCTGGTGGGAGCATTCCTTGTCTCTGTGGGCCACTGGTGGCCACCTCCCCCCAGCGCTGTCTCCACGGCCACATGCCCTCCTTTCTCTCTAGTCAAACCTGCCTCTGCCTCCTTCTGGTAAGGCCACACAGGACCGCACTGACGGACCACCTGGGTAACAACGTCCCTAAAGATTCTAAATTTCATCACAGCTGCAAAGTCCTTTTTTGCCATAAGAAGTAACAATGACAGGCTCCAGCCAGGAGAACATCGCTACTTTTGGGGCCACTCTTCCGCCCCCCCACACAGACCCCAAGGCAGCAACTTAGGGCAGGCACGTTCTCAAGACTCGATCCCAGGAAACACCGCAGGGTGTGGGAGGAAGAAAGACTCAGAAGGAGGGAAGCCGGCATGGAGCTGTCAAGCGCTCGGCATCCTGGAAGCCACCGGGCTTGACCCCACTGGGTCAGCCCATCCGAGGGGTAGGGCTGAGCTGTCTGTCCCCGTCCTCAAGTCACAGGTCAAGGGCTGCTCCCGGGAAAGCTGGATTCCCCGGCATCTTCAGCAGTGGCCAGAAAGCCCCCCGGAGAGAAACACGGGTGCTGGCGGGTGAGGGATAGTGAGGGTGAGAGCCCGAGGGCCGGGCCAGGGGCAAGAGCAGCTGCGCCCCGCCCACCCTCCAGAGCCTCAGGACTGAAAGCTGGGAGAACAGAGAAACCCAGAAGGAAATGCCGGCATGGAAAGGAAATGTGTAGGGAGCTCTGACCGCGTCGGGGTGGAGGGGACACCCCGTATCCATTCTGTGACCTGAGATGGCCTCTCCGGGAATGACGCTGAAGTAGGGGGCGGCGGGCCTGACGAGGAGCACGTGCCAAGGTCCTGTGGCAGGAAAAAGGCCCGCCCCCGAGGAGCAGGAGGCAGCAGCCCAGGACACCTGTGGCTTGTGAGCAGGGAGCCGAGGGGGAGCCGAGGCGGAGCTGAGGGTGCCGGCAAGATGGGGGAGACGTGTGGGAGCCGGCTCCCTTTCCCACCAGGCCACGGCCCCACATTCCTTCCTCCTGTGCCATCAGCACCAGCAGCCCCCTCCCTGTACACTGGCCTCTGTTGCCTCCTCCAGGGGTCAGGAAGGCCCCGCCTCCCTGAGGGACAGAAAAGGGGGCCCAGCAGAGGAAGCCTGGGGTGGAGGCAAGCAGGCCCCAGGCCCTGGCCGGGGATCGGGGGTGGCTGCCGGGGGAGGAGGGAGAGCAGGCTCGGCTGGTCTCCCCAGAAAGGCCCCTCCCAGCACTCCCGCCCCAGGAGTTATTTTTAAAATCTCATTTTCAGAAAGCGGAGGAGAAAACCTCTTTCTTTTGCCTTTTCTCCACTCTTTATTCTGTGAAAGCGTAGGAGGGGGTGTGGAGGAGGAGGGGAGCCCTGGAAGGCAAAGAGGAGCCCTGGGCCCTGTCCCAGCTTGGGGACCCGGGCCTGCTGCTGACCTGGGGCTGCCCCACCTCATGGGCCCCAGAGCCGCAAGCGGGACCCTCCCCGAGCAATCTTGGCATAGGGAATCACCCACTTGCAGGATGGGGATCCACCCAGGGCCCGGAGTGGGCACTCTTGCTGCCCCCCAGAAGGGGCCTCAGTCCATGCTCGCTGTGCACCTGAGGGCAGCCAGGCTCAGAGAGGACAGGGCCTCCCTCCGCCGGGAGCACAGGGCCCCAGCAAGAGCCCGCAGCCCCACCAGGCCACAGCTGCCAGGAGAGGGCAGGACTCGAGGCCTGGCAGCCCGGGGCAGGGATCCCAGCGCTGCCACCCGAGGCTGGGTCTGATGTACTCAGTGGTGGGCTTTTTGCTTTTGTTTTTCTGTGGTAAGAACACTTAACGTGAGATCTACGAACTTCACAAACGTTGAAGTGTGCGGTGCGGCCTCGTTAACTATGGTGCGGTGTTGACTGCAGACTTCCACACTTACCTTAGCTGAAACGTATCGCCATTCAACAGCAAGGCCTCCTCTCCCCTCTCCCCGCCCCCCGGCCCTGGGAACCACCATTGTACTCTCTGCTTCTGACTTTGACTATTTCTGATTCCATGTAGAAGCAAAATCAGGCAGAATTTGCCTTTCTGGGTCTGGCTTCATTGCCCTTGGCATAAAATCCTCCAAGTTCATTCACGTCGTCAAATACAGCAGGTCGCCTTCTTTTTAAAGGCTGGATAATATTCCATTGTATGCATATACCACATTTTCTTTCTTCTTTCATCTGACCACAGACACTTAGGGTGTGTCCGTATCTTGGCTATCCTCAAAAACGCGGCTGCCATCGTGGGAGTGCAGCCACGTCTTCAAGATCCTCAATCCGTTTCCTCTGGATGGCGCCCAGGAGAGGGGCTGCTGGATCATATGGCAGGTCTATCTTTAGTTTTCCGAGGAACCTCCATGCTGTCTCCTTCATCGGCGGCACCATTTTGCATTCCCACCAACAGAGTACAAGGTTCCCTCTCTCCACACCCGGCCAACACTTGCCATCTTGTCTTTTGGATGCCAGCCGTCCTAACAGGTGCAAGGGGATCTCGCTGTGGCTTTGATTTGCATGTCCCGGTGATCAGCGATGTCGCGCACCTTTTCATATACCGGTTATTTGTCTTCTTTGGCTACAGGTCGATTCCGATCCATTGCCCACTTTTTAATTGGATGATTTGACTTTCTGCTATCGAGTGACAGCAGCTCCTTCTGTATCTTGGATGTTAACCCCTTATCAGAGAGAGGGTTTGCAAACGTTGCCTCCCGCTCCGCAGGCTGCCTTTTCATTGCGTTGTTTCCTTCGCTGTGCAGAAGCTTTTGAGTTTGGTGTAGTCCCACTTGTCTATTTTTGCTTTTTCGCCTGTGCTTTTGGCTTCATATCCAAAAAATTATTGCCAAGAGCCATGTCAAACAGCACTTCCCCTGTTTTCCTCTAGGAGTTTACAGCTTCAGGTCTTACGTTTAAGTCTTCTGTGGGGGTATCCACTGGTCAGACGGGGCCACTGTCTCCTGGGAAGGAAACCTCAGGGAGTCAGGCCTTGGGGCAGCAGCCAGGGGAGCTGGTGGTGGGACCCAGCTGGACAAGGGGCATGAATGTCCTCCTGGCCCCTCCCGTCACCTCCAGTCAAACCACAATCCCCCTGGTCCCACCACCCAGGCCGGCACAGCACGGTTGAACAAACCACAGTGAGAATAAATGCTGTGGGAGCCCAGAGAAATCAGGGGTGGCTTCCCCAGGAGGTGGCCTGGGCGGGGGTCTCCAAGGACAAATAGGAACTAGGTACCGTGCACAACGGAGTTTCTTAGGAAAGTTGGGGGCAGGGCGCATTCCAGGAAGAAGGCACTGCCCACAGCCTCAAACCGGGCTGCAGCCTGGGAACCCCAGGGAGTCGTGCAGGGGCAGAGAGAAGGAGCCTGGGAGGAGGCCGGTGGGGGGGGGCTGCCCCGCCCTTGAGGCTGGCCCCTTCCTCACTGCAGGCGAACAGCAGGAAGGGAAACCGCCTATGCAAAGCCCCGCGGCCCCTCCTGCGCTCCCTGCCCCCAGTGGGCGGTGGGATGCCACGCACCTACCCACGACGCCCCTTCTGCGGGTCGCCCCTGGAGGGAGGGTGCAGCGGAGGGCGGGTCCTATCACCGCGGGCGCGTGGGCGGGTGGCACGCGTGCCGCTCACAGGCCCCCCAGTCGGGGCCGCTGCCCTCCCGCCGCGCGAGTCCTGCCTGGGCCCGCAGTGCCATCTGCCGGCCGCGCGGGGGGCGCGTCGCGGAGCAGGCGGCGGGAGGGAGGGGCCTTCCCCGGGCCCACCCAGACATGCTGGCACCCTGGGGAGGGGGTGCCGCCGGTCCAGGGGCCTCGTCCTCACCCTAGGCTTGGGTCTGGGGCCCTGAGTTTGAGACCCGTTTCCACCACCAACTGCTGTGCGACCAGCCGCTGGCTCCGGCCCTCTCTGAGCTCCGCCCCGCTCCCAGGGCGCTGAGCAGAGGAGGAAGGGCCACTGGGACCCTGGGGGGTGCCGCGCTCTTACAGTGGGGAGAGCGCACCCTGAGGCGTGAGGCGCAGCGAGCTTCCCGGGCGCACGGTCGGAGACGGGCCTGGGTTTGATTCGGGGCAGCCTGTCCGGACCCACAGGCTGAGCTCCCAGCTGTCCCCTTCCTGGTTCCTTCGGCAGGAGAGGACCCCGGAGGTGGCGAGCACCGGCACCTGGAGCGGAGCCTGGCACAAAGCAGGAGCAGAGACTCAGGCCCAGACGGGGAGTCACAGCTCCAGCCCCAGAACCTGCCACCCGCACGGAGACCTGGGCCTAGGGAACAAATGGCCCAGGCTGGGTCATCCACGGGTCTCCCAGGAGGTAACTGAGGCCCAGAGGAGGAAGGGGCAGGCCCGGGGACCCTGGAGGACACACGTCCGAGCCCGCATGCACAGACAGAGGCACACACGCAGACCCGCTGCCCCAGAACACAGACAGCCCTTAGAAAGGTTGCTGGATGCTGGAACCATCGTGACCTCACGGATGAGGTCAGGCCGGCCAGGGCGGGAGAGGGCCAGTGCCGGGGACACGGCCAGCCCACGGTCGTGAGGCCGGAACTAGTGGTGGGTGCCTGTGAGTCCGCACAGTGCCCCAACCATGGACAGGCAATGTTCTAAATGACCACACAGCCGCACCCCGGTGAGTAGGACATCCTCAGCCGTTTCCCCAAACCCCAGGTCAGCTCAGCCCCACCAGAGACTCCCGACCCCCACCAGTAATCAGCCTCCTCACCTGTTGGGAGCCTCCCTGTACACCATCCAGGGGCTCCTGTGCTGAGGAAGGAGGGTCCTGCCCCCAGGAGCAGCCTGGAGCAGTTGGAGTGGGCACCCGTAAGCCAGAGTCAGGGCCCTGCCCGCATAGCCTGCACCTGTGTGATGGCGAGAGGGACCCTGGCCTTCAGGCCTGCTGTGTGAACGGGCAAGTGAAAGGATGGACAGACTGTCCGCCTGCTTCTCTGATGAGCCTTGGCTTCTATTCGGCAGGACGGAGATGATACCGCAGCCAGTGTTTCTGCAGAGATTTCAGGGGCATGAGTAACAGAAGGTTCCACCACAGCTTTCCAGGGTCCCCAGGGCCCCCCCAGTGTCCCGGGACCCTGGGCAGACATGAAGGATATCTCCACCTTCCTGTGTCCGACAGGCAGGTCAGAGGTGCCTGGCCCCAGCCCAGAGTCCCGCCTGCCCCCTCTATGGGGACCCAAAGCAGGCTCCGCTGTCCAGGTGCTCGTCCACCGGGACTGGGGCCACAGCCAGGCTCTGGGTTCAGAGCAGGGTTCCTGGCTGCAGTCCCTGACACAGTGGCTATTCTGGGAGTGTCTCGGTACCTGCCTGTGAACTCAGGAATTTCAGGCCCTCGCAGTCCCCCGTCTGAATGTCGCCAGGCCTGCCTCCTCTGCCATAGCTTCTGCTGCTGCTAAGCTGAGAGCGCTCCTCTGCAGATGTTTGCTAATAGTGCGTTCACATCATTTTTCTATTTTTAAAAACACATTTAACTCTGGAGGCCACAGAGGCTGCGATGTGGGTTTGGAGGGGCAAGGTACGAGCCTCCCTGGTGCCTGCGGCCCGTGCTGTGACCGCTGCCATGCCTGGGGAAGCTGGACTCCCACTGCCACAGGACCCTCACTCCCACTCAGAGTCGGTCCCAACCACATTTGTCTGGAAGGCCACCCTTTCCACGATCTGGGAACTGGCTAGTTTTCTGGGAGGCCACAGGAAGGAGGCGGCTTTCCAGAAGAGTCAAACTGTGCGTGAACCTCTCAAGGTCAAGAGAGCAGAATTCCAGAGTCTCCCCAGAGCTGCTCTGGCCCTGAGACGCCAAGATGTGTCAGAACGTGTGATCTCCAGGAGGCAGGCTCTGGAGCTCTTGGGACAGCAGAGCTCAGATGTGCAGAAATGCGCTTTCTCAGGCAACCCCACCCTATGATGCACTTACGGGGCGGGGCAGCCTGGCGGATATCCTCCTATAGCTCTGGCAAGGGGACAAAGAGAAAGGAGGAGACAAACTCTGGGCAAAGGGGCCAGGGAAGAAGAGCCCAACAGGGTCCACGGGAAGGCATTTGGGAAGCCGTATCTGGTGTGATGGTTGAGGGGGACAGACCGCCAGGATCCTGGAGAGGTGGGAGGGCCATCACAGTGCTGTGTCTAAGGTCAGGTCGGGCCGTATTCACTGAAGCACTCCATTCATTCCGCCAGCATTTGCTGAGCACCTACTACATGGACCAGGTGTTCTAGGTGTCGGGGATACTGCTGGGAACAAAAGAGATAAAACCCTTGCCCACATGCCTTACATTCCAGACTGCCAGTGAGAACAGAAGCAGGAAATAAACGACATGGCGGCACAGGGGGAGAAGGCGTATGGAAAGAAGAGGGGCGGGAGTGGGAAGTGTGGGGTCAGGGTCTTCAATCAGTGCTTCACGAAGGGGTCAATGGAGCCAACACTAAAATCCGGCGAGGGACTGAGCCAGGTGGCCCTCTGGGTTCGGAAGGGTGTTTCCCAGACGGAAGGAGCAGCCACCACCAAGGTCTGGAGATAGACGTGCGTCCGGTGGTGTGAGCGCCTCCCGACTGGAGTAGAATCGACAAGGGAGAGCGGAAGGAAATAAGGGCAGAGGGACCATTTTTGTTCTTACGTGTCTTCTTTCTTTTCTATTACAGTATGATTTACAGATGATAAAATTCACTATTTTTAGCATATAGCTCTCAAATTTTGACAAATGTATATAGTCATGGACTCACCACCACAAACAAAATATGGTGGTGGGCACGCGACTCCCAGACAGCGCCATCTCCCAGACAGCGCCTCCGGCCCTCTGCAGTGAACTTTCTCCAGGTCCCTGTCCCTGGGAACCGCTGACCTGCTCTCTGTATAGTTTCACTTTTCCAGAACGTCATGAAAGTGAAATGGCACCAGATGTAGCTTTTGGAGTCTGGTTTCCCGCATGCAGCATCATGCATTGAAGAATCCGTGTTTTTGTGTTTATCAGGAATTCGCCCCCTTTGCTGCTGAGTAGCATACTCAGCATACTGTGGATGTGATGTGGTTGGTTTGTGCATTCCCAGGTTGAAGGACACGTGGATTATTTCCATCAAAAGCCACGATAAATGTTTGTGTATAGATTTCAGACAGCAGTCACTTCGCCTGAGAGAATGCCTAGGGGCAGGTAGCTGAGCCATGAGAATGCAAGTGTACGTTCAACTTGATTAGCAAGTACCAGGCTACCTTCCAAGAGGGCTGTGCCACTGTGCCTTCCCACCAGCAACGCGTGAAAGCTCAGAGCTGTTCTGCGCCCTCACCAGCAGTGGGTATTGCCCGTGTTTCTGATTTTGGCCACTTTGGTGGGTGTGTAGTGATAGCCCACTGCGGTGTTAGCGGCGTCCCTCGTGAGGAATCACGCTGAGCACGTTTCAGGTGCTTCCTTGCCGCCCGTCTGCTTTGTCCCAGCGTCTTTCCGTGTTGTGTTAGGCTGCCTGGGCTTTGTTTTGTTTTCGTTTTCCTTTGTTTCGAGTGTGCTTTATATATTCTGGAGATCGTCCTTTATCAAATATGTGATTCGCAAATACTTCCTCCAAGTCTGCGGCTTCTCTTTTCATTTTTTAGTAGATATCCCTTAAATAAAAGAAAGGGGGACGCGGTGCAGTGGCTCATGCCTGTAATCCCAGCACTTTGGGAGGCGGAAGCCAGAGGATCATTTGAGCCCAGGAGTTCAAGACCAGCCTAAGCAATAGAGAGATACCCTGTCTCTATTTAAAAAAAAAAAAAAGAGGCAGACATGGTGGCATGCACCTGCAGCCCTAGCTACTTGGGAGGTGGAGGAAGGATCGTCTTTTGAGCCCAAGTGTTCAAGGCTACAGTGAGTGACCTATGCTTGTGCCACTGCACTCTAGGCTAGGCAACAGATCAAGACTTTCTAGAAAACAAAAATAAAATACAGACAGAGGGGATCTCTAGAAGAAAATGATATTTATTCAAACATTTAAGATTCTTATATCTCCTTGATAAATGAAGTGATTCTCTTTATCCCTGTTATATTACTTACTCTAAAATATACTTTGTCTGATATTAATATAACACAATTTTCTTTATATTTATGTTAGCATGATAGATTGTTTTCCATCCTTTTACTTTTAATTGATTGGTATGTACTATATTTCAAGTGGACTTTGCATAGGCAGTGTACATGTGGGTCTTGCTTTTTTATTCAATTTAATAGTCTCTGCTATTTAATTTTGGTGCCTTTATTATTTATATTTAATATGTCTATTGATCGGATTTGGTTTTATTAGACCATCTTGCAATTCATTTTCTCTTTGTCTCATCTCTTTTTGTGCAATTTTTTCTCTTCTTCTGCCTTTATTTGCATTGAGTAATTTTTATGAATCCACCTTATCTCCTTCGTGGAATTCTTAGCCACACATATTTTGTTTAGTGTTGTTTTATTGTCTAGTCATTGCTTTTGGGTTTCTGTTATACATGGTAGCTGATCTCAGTTTACCTTCAAGTGAAATTAGAGTGTAAGAACCTTCCAACATTTTGTTTTCATTTCTCCCTCCTGGCTTTTGTGCCATTATTGTTACATGTTTTACTTCTATATTTGTCATAAACCCACAATGCATTATTATTTTTACTTTAAATTTTAAAAGTAAAAATTCTATTTACCTACGTTTTTACCATTTCCAGTGCTTGTTATTCTTTTGTGGAGCTTCATTTTTTCCGTCTGTTGTCATTTTACTTCTGTCTGGAAGACTTTCTCAAACATTTTTTATGGTGCAGGACTTCTGGTGATAACATCTTATGGCTTTTGTACATATGAAAAGTATTTTTATACCACCTTCCGTTTTTACAGGTATTTTCTCTAGGATGGAATTCTAGCCTGACAGATTGCTGTTTTGTTTTGCTTTGTTCTTTCAGGGCTTTAAAATGTTGTCCACTGTCTCCGGCTCACATTGTTTCCAACAAGAACTGTGCTCTCATTTTTCATTCCTTTCATGTGTCTTTTTTTCTATGGATGTTTTTAAGATGTGACTTCATGTAGTTTTCTTTGTATGTCTTTTGCTTGGAATTCATTGAATTTCCTGGATCTGTGGATTTATAACTTTCATCAAAGGTATGAAATGTTCAGGTATTATTTCCTCAAATATTTTTTCTTTCCCCATTCCTTCTCCTGTAGGGAGGCAAATTCCACATACAAAATGCCATGTGATGTTGGTCCACAGCTCACTGATGCTCTGTTTTATTTTTTCCAGTCTTTTTTCTCTACATGTTTCATTTCGGGGTAGTTTCTAATTGCTGTGTCTTCAAGTTCACTCATCTGTGCTTCTACATTGTCTAATCTGCTGCTAAACTATGTATCCTTCATCTTTTTATATTTTCCAGGTCTCTCCTTACCATGCTAATGTTTTTCTCTACCATGTTGAACATGAGAAATATATTATTAAAAATTATGGCAAAAACCACAATTACTTTTGCACCAACCTTATAACTGTTTTACTGTCCTTGCCTACTAATTATATTATTTCTGTGTTGGTTTCAATTAATTGATTTTTTTCTCCTCATTATGGATCATATATTTTGCTCCTTTCCATGCCTAGAAAATTCTGATTGGATGCTAGACATTGTGAATTTTGCCTTGTTGGGTACTGGATATTCCTGTACTTTGTAAATATTCTTCAGGTTTGTTCTTGAACACAATTAGATTACTTGAAAAGTTTGGTTCCTCTGAGGCTTGATTTTAAAAGTGTGGTAGGAAGAGCCAAAACAGTGTTGTTTAGGGCAGATTTTTCCCCCATTACTGGGTTCATACCATTCAGAGCATGCTACCTAATCCCCTGTGAATTACCAGCTTTTCCACTCTCGATGGTGAGAAAAGGAACTCTTGCTAGCCCTGTGTGAGCTCCAGAGATTGTTCCCTCTACTCCTTTTGGGGCTTCATGGTTTTCCCAAGTGCACTGAGCTCAGATGAAGATGGGGGGTACAGGGGATCCCCTGAAACACCCCAAGAACCCTCTCCTCCTCGTGCCGCTCTCTCCTGTCACTCTTCCCAGCAAACTCCAGCCACGTTGGCTCCCCCAGACTTTCACATCCACTTCCTCAACTCAGAGAGACTACTGGGCTTTATTGGACTCCCTCTCCCTGTGCTGCAAACTGGAAACTTCCCAGTAGCTGGCTGTGGCCACGCTGGGCTCACCTTCTTGCTTTTCCATTTTCAGGGATCTTCGTCCTGTGCTGCTGTTGTCTGATGTCTGATAATCATGGTTTTGTATTTTTTTTTTCCAATTTCCAAGTTGTTAAGACAAGAGGGTGAAGCTGGTCCTTGTCATGCCCTCATGGATGGAGGTATCAGTGTCTTACATGTCATTTTCAGGCCTTTGAGTTTTACTCTGAGTGAAATGGGAGGCAGGACAGATTCTGAGTGGCATCACCTGACATGCATCCCTCCCATGGTGGGAGAAATGAACGGGTAAAATATTGAAAGATGAACTGGCTTCTAATGCACCACAGAATTCACGGATTTAATTTGCTGATTTTGTTTATCTCATTCATTGAGGCATTCCAGGAGAATGCCAGAACATGCCCCACCCATGGCAGTCACCTGGGAAGTGAGTACTGAGAGCGAACAAATGAATAAGGTCAGGAAGTGGGTGGAGCAGGAGGCTCTTCCTGTCCCAGCAGGAGACCAGGCTTGGGCAGCATCCTCCAAAAAAACAACATGGTCTCTTTTGGCCCCTTATGGCCCCTAACACAGCCCGAGGCAGTGCTTTCCCCACATTTGCAGGAGAAGAGGAAGAAGACGAGGAGAAGGCAGAGGCCGGCTTGGAGGGAGGAGAGAAGGCAGAGGCCGGCTTGGAGGAAGGAGAGAAGGCAGAGGCCGGCTTGAAGGGAGGAGAGAAGGCAGAGGCCGGCTTGGAGGGGCTGGATCTCCCTTGATCTGTTCTCACTGCTCCCATAGCTCTCCCCACTTCCCTTGGGGACTCCTTCAGCGATGTCTGGGTGACCAGGGCAATCTCACATGTGGTCTGAATGAGGGATGCCATACCCTGAGCCCTGCCATGTCCCACCAGCCATGTCTGTCTCAAACCCAACCTCAGAAGCGGACGCCTGCTGGGAGGCCAGGCCCCACCAGGCCTGCAGGTGATGCTGCCTACTCAACAGTGTCCCTGAGGCCTTGAGACCCCACCCTCCTCCCGGGGCCCAGCCAGTCCCTTGAATGGAAGGACAGACACATGGAAGGATGTAGCTGAGCCCAGTGGAAGCCAGTGCAGCACGTAGCACCCCGCACTAATGCGGAAACACGCCACCCAGACGCCGACTCCCAGGACCCCTCCTCCATTTCAGAATCTCCCCCGCTGTCTCCACATCCCCAAAGGAGTCGTCTTGCATGGAGGCACCCCAGGACTCTGTCCACAGGGACAGACTCCCACACCCCACCACCATTCTGCTCCGCAAGTCGCAGAGCAAGCAGCCAGGCCGCACTCCTGCCACAGAAGCACCAGGTGTTCATGGAGGAGGCCAGCGGTGCAGGTGACCGTCAGCCCCGGCTCAGGCAGGACAGGCGTGAGTTGGCCCCAGATGGGGTCAGGCTCCAGCAGATCCCACCCTGTCCCTCCAACAAAAGCAGTCCTGAGGGTGACGGCCAGAAGGAGTCTCCCCTCCAGGACCTTGAGAGTGTCAAGCGGTGTGGACATGGTGAAGCTTTCAGCAGAGAGCCCTGCACACTCGGCTTGGCCTCGTCATGCCTCGTGAGGCACCATCCAAAGCCCAAGCGATGCCCAGCTCACCCTACACCCCACCCTCCACCATCCCCCCCATTCCCTTTCACAGCTCGGACCTCAGTCCAAGCCTGGCTCCTACGTTATTCAAACACCATTGACTGCTGGATGACTGGGTGGTTGGTGAAAGGATATAGGAAGAATGGATGCGGGGAGGGAGGGATGAATTCGTGAGTGGGTGGGTGGACATTTATGAACAGATGGATGTTGGGTGGGTGGGCAGGTAGATGAATGGAAAGACAGATGAACAGGTGGATTCGTAGACGGAAGGATGGACAGACGGAGCGTGTGGATGGACGGATGGCTGGATGGGCAGGTGGGTGAGGGAGGCGTGGGTAATGGGCGGATGGAGTATGAATGGTGAGAGGACGTGCTCACACACCTGCGCTCCTGCTCCTTACCTAGGTTGAACCCAGGAAAGTCCATTTGGACCGTCAGGAGGTCCCAGGCTTCTCAGGCATCCATTCCCCAGTTCTCATTTTCAGAGCACTCCTTCCATCCCCAGACCCACCCTCCTGCCCACCCAGCCTTGCTGCCACAATGTGACCCACCCACAGCCTGTTCACGCTCATGCCTTCCTGCCCACCTTAGCCATCTGCTTCAAGATGCTGCAGGACATGAGCAGTGCAGATCCCTTCCGCCTGAAGTACATCATCAAGAAGGTCAAGAACACGGCTCATGGCTCCCCCAGCCTGGTGATGGAAACCATCCACCACTGCTTCATAGACAACCCAGAGGTGGGGGCAGCTTGGGCCACTGGGGCAGGCACAGGGGGCAGAGGGGAGGGTGGGACCCGGAGGTGAGCTCTAACCCGGGGTCCTGCATAGAACAACCACATGACTTGGGGCAAGCCTCAGTTTCCTCACATGTGAAATGGGCCAAGTAGGGAGGGAGAAAAGTGAACCCAGATGCATTGACCGCCCTCAGAACGCGCGCATGAGGTGGCTAACCTGACCCTCACTGGGTGGGAGCCTAAGGCATACGGAAGCCAAGGGGTTTGCCTGGAGTCACAGACCATGAAGTGGCAGAGACAAATGGCTCCTTTGGACCCTCCATGTCCACACCTCTGCCCACATCTCCCAAACCATCTGACCTGATCTGTCCCCAACCCACCATTGCTGTCACCCACAGATCTCCAGCAGGCACAAGTTCTGGCTGTTCCAGACTCTGGAGATGGTCATCGGGGCCAGTGACATCCCAGAGGAGACCTGGGAGAAAACCTTCACGCAGCTGGCCCTGGAGAACACGACCAAGACCACGGTGGGCCTCCCCTCCCCCAGCAAGTGAGCCAACCCCCCACGGGTTTTGGGAATGCCAGTGGCTGCCCCAAGGACCCAAGTGATGCCAGGTGTGCCCAGCCTTGTAGCTTACCAAGCAATTCCATCCAGTGACTCGCGTTCTTGCCCCCAGCCACTTCAGCGGACAAGCACTTTTCCATCTCACTTTCCCATTTCGGGAAGGTGAGGCTCATAAGTCGGGGAGCCCTCTCCCCTCAGGAGGTCTCTCCCTACAGCAGGCTGTGGTTCTGCCTGCAGCCCAGCTTCTGGGAGGCCTCTGCACGTCTAACCCCGTCCGCAGGCTGTACCTCTGCCCTTGGCCTCCCGCTTCTGGCTTCCTGGCCGATGGAGACTTGGGGGTCTGGACCTGAACTGCCCCACCCACCCCACCCTGCCCCCAGCTTGCAGTCTGAGATCTGGCCCCGGCCACCAACAGTCTCCACTCTAGAAGCTTGGGAGCAGGTGGCTTAGACTGACTAGGCCAGGGCGGCCCCAGGGGACGCCTCAATACGTGCACACACTTGGGTGCCCCACGAAGCAGGAGTAGGCACCACTTACCCTCTGTGTGATGCTGAGTCTTCACTCCGGTGGTCATGCAGAGGCAAACGCCACTGCAAGACGTTCTTCATACTCACAGCTCCCCCCGACACGAGAGGCACAGCACACCACACTGGGCCACACAGGCCTGCCCCACACAGGGGTCAGGAAGCAGACAGAGGCCAATCTGGACACGCCTTCAGGGCCACGGTGCCGGAAAGGAAGCAAGTGGAGACGTCCCCTAGGAGCTACGGGGACAGTGGCAGGTCAGGGCATTGTAACGGGACTTCCACGCTCCCGCAGAGATTACACAGCTTCGGCTGCTCATCTAGCCCTTCAATTCAGCAAACAGGGAGAGGGTATTAGGAATAAGACATCCAAGAGCACAGGGCCTGCCAGCGTGGCCAACACACCCTCCACACAGGGATCTGTGGCCCCACTTACAGATAGAGAGGCTGGGGCTCAGAGCCTTAGGGACTGGCCTGTAGTCACCACCCAGCTGGCGGACAGCAGGTGGGTCAAGCCCCTGAGCTTCCCCAGAGAAGTGAGTGAGGCCACCCTAGGTGTGAAGGACGGGGAACGGGGCGTGGCAGCCACGTCCACCTGGTTTTTCTACCTTGTTTCTTGTGGCTCTGGAATCCTATGCATGTGTTTCTCACACTCACTGTTGCCAAGTCCATCAGGCGCCTCTGCAGTTTACGGATTGAAGATCCTGGGGAGCTGCGGTCAGGGAGCAGTGCCCCCGGCAAGGCGAGGGCTTCGGGACACTCTCAGGGGCGTGGTCTGGCCTCAGCCTCCCCGAGGGTAGACAAGGCCCTCCTGCGGCTTCATGATGGGGGCCCCTGCACGGAGTCCCGCATGAACAAGGCTGCGACCGGTCTACATTTTCTGCTTCTGAACGTAACGCAGCCCCGCCCCAGCACCCAGAGGAAGCGCACAGTTCTGTGGGTCCCACCCGCCTGGGACACAGAGGGGCGTCAGGCGCTCTGGCACCTAGGTCAGGCCCCTCATCTGCCTGCTCCCCACTTCCACAGTGTGCCTGCTATTGTCCCTTTTAAAAAATCTCCTAAATGGAGTGTTAGCTGACGTAGGTTTTTTGAGAGAACAAAATCAGATTCAATCACCATCTTCACGAGAAGCCCCCATAGACATACTTGGCATAAATTAGAAGTGATATATCCATTTCATGAGATGATTCAAGCTGCATGGCAGGGCTCAGAAACCCCCACTTCCAGACGCCCCAAGTGCAGGCAGGCCTCCCGCTCACCTGCCTCAGAGCCACAGAAGCCGCCTATGGCTCCCATGAAGACCGAGAAAAGTGGAATTCAAAACTGTATCAAGATCCAGAGGGAACCACACACTTGTTGAGAAAGGGCCTGGGTGTGACCACACAGAGCCTCGGGGCCCACTCAGGTCCTTCCTGCTGAGGAAGCCCCTCCCCTGGACAATGGGGGCTTGGCCAGGGTCAGGGAGGCCAGGGGCCCGGGCGGCGGGGCTCTGCCCTCGAGCAGCTGACGCCCTGGGTCTCCTGGATGGGAACATGGCCTCTGGTTCTGAATTCATGGCGAAAGAATTAAAGGATGTGACATTGTCGTGGGCCGCCAGGAGCTCAGGAGGAGGAGAGGTGATGTGGGCTAGAGGATCAGGATGAGGGCCTGAACCCAGGCCTCGGAGCACGCTCTAAGGGGAGTGGAGGTCCAGGCAGGCACACAGCATGAGCCAGGGTGCAGAGGCAGGAGGAGGAGGGGGAGGAGGGGGAGGAGGGGGAGGAGGGGGAGGAGGGGGAGGAGGGGGAGGAGGGGGAGGAGGGGCGCAGAGGCAGGGGGAGGAGGGGGAGGAGGGGGAGGAGGAGGGGGAGGAGGGGGAGGAGGGGCGCAGAGGCAGGGGGAGGAGGGGCAGGAGGGGGAGGAGGGGGAGGAGGGGCGCAGAGGCAGGGGGAGGAGGGGGAGGAGGGGGAGGAGGGGGAGGAGGGGCGCAGAGGCAGGGGGAGGAGGGGGAGGAGGGGGAGGAGGGGCGCAGAGGCAGGGGGAGGAGGGGGAGGAGGGGCGCAGAGGCAGGGGGAGGAGGGGCAGGAGGGGGAGGAGGGGGAGGAGGGGCGCAGAGGCAGGGGAGGAGGGGGAGGAGGGGGAGGAGGGGCGCAGAGGCAGGGGGAGGAGGGGGAGGAGGGGGAGGAGGGGCGCAGAGGCAGGGGGAGGAGGGGGAGGAGGGGCTCCAAAAATGGACGCAGACCAGGATGGCCTCAGGCTCCCTCAGCCTCAGTTTTCCAGCAAAAGAAACGTGGGCTGTGGTCCTGCCCCTCAAAGCAGCCCTGGCATAGGAAGACTCGAGGGCTCGGAACAAGCTGCTCTGATGTCCCTCCCACCCTGCCTGCTCCCACCTCACCCAGGAACTGGCAGACATACACCAGGACGAGGCCAGCAGCGTGCGGGTGGCCATCTGCAGGCACTCGTGGCGGGTGGTGGCGCAGCATCTGGAGACGGAGCTCCTGACGGGCATCTTCCCGCACCGCAGCCTCCTCTATGTGAGGGGCATCCTGTCCCCCCGCGGTATGTGGGCGCGAGGCTGCGGACAGGATGGGGCAGGTCATAGAGAGTGGTCCAGGAGGGAGGCTTTGAGGTCCCACACAGGCAGGGCACAGGGGCTGCATGTCACTTATGCAACGTCAGGTAGCTTCATGCCGAGCGGGAACAGGATGCTGCCCCGAGGATCCCCACTGTCCCGCACCCCTCAGGGGGCCCAGGCCGTGCCCAGGACCTCCCTGGAAAGAGCAACCCAGGCCCAGCCGTGCCAGCCCCTCCGAGGGCTCACCCACTCCTGCTGTCAGTATTGCAACAGCTGGGCCTGGGTGGAGCCAGGATGACAGAGGAGGGTCGGTTGGTGACCTAGGACAGGTGTGACTCTGGCACACAGCTGGGCAACATGGCAGGCCAGGGCCGCCCCCAGCCTTTACCACCTGCAGTGTCTGGGCCCTTCATCCACCATAGCCGCAGCCTCCAAGCTACGGGAAGGGCCAGCCTGGACAGTGGGGCCTCTGAGGACCCCAGAGGAAGGACATACAGGGAGGTGCTGACACAAAAAAGCACACTGACTGAGCACCCACCCAGCGCCAGGCCCCCAGCCACGCAGAGGCAAGGGCCAACCTTCAAGAATTCACTCACTCATTCACAAGCACATGCTGCTGTGTTTCCCACTGGGAGGTCCAGGGCTGCCTTGAGAGCAGCTGGGGGAGCCCAGAGAGGAGAGGGACCAGCTGCCCAGGAGCCATCAAGGAGGGCTTCCTGGAGGAGGCAGCCAGTGTAGGCCACATCTAGAGATATGCATAGGAGGGTGAGGAAGGAAGTTCCCTCTGCCAAGAGCCTTCAGGAGGAATTGGTGGGCAGCCACTGTGAGGGGTGGGGTTGGGGTGTGGCAGGGCCTGTGACCTGCAGGGAGGCCCAGGTCCAGCAGGGGTGTCTGCACTCTAAGGCTGGGGAGAAGCAGGACCCTGCTTGGCTTGGCCTTGCCCCCCACCCCGCCCCGGGATTGGCAGGCTGGGCAGAGGTCCCTCTGCACCCGGGGGTACTGCTGAGGACCCCAGATCTCTCCCCAAAGCAGCCTCTCCCTCTAAGGTGGGTTCCAAAGTTCCCAAAAAGCTCTCCACTGTCACAACGCCTCCCTCCCAAAGCCTTATTTTCCCACTCTTGAGGGGCCATGCTTGGCGATGCCCCTCCATTCACCATGAGTGAGCCCAAGGCCCAGAGAGGGAGCCCAGCCCACCTGAAGCCACACAGTAAGGGCAGCAGGGCCGCAAGCCCAGCCCAGCTCTCTGAACCCAGAGCCGACCCGGCTCATGTCCCTCCAGCTCCCATGCCCTACCCACAGAGCCAGGGTGGGCAGAGGCCAGTAGTGTCAGCCCAGGCCAGCACTAATGCGTAGAGGTGACGGGGTCAGACAGGCCCCTGTGACCCTCCCCTCTCCCCACAAAGGAGCTCTTCGGCTGGGAAGACAAGCCTGCTGGGAAGAGCAACTGAGCCAGGTAGGGAGGGGGCCCAGCTCCCGGCCACCCGGCCTTCCGTGGCGCCAGCAGGGGAGAGGTGGCAGGATGGGTGCCTGGGAGGAGGGGAAGGGAGAAGGAGGGAGGAGGAAGAGAAGGCGGAAGGAAGGAGAGAAGCGGAGGGGAGGGAGGAAGATGGGGGAGCAAGAGGGGGCAGGGAGGGAGGGAGGAAGGATCCCCACTATGCAGATGAGCACACAAGTCTGGGAAAGGGAGAGGACCAGTCACAGGCCTGAGGCATCGGGGTTCACACCTTGGCCAGAGCTGTGACCACGGAAAGAAGGAAGCAGACGGGCGGACGAGAAGAACCAGGCCGTGCAGCCCCCTGTCCGAACACACCCAAGTGAGTGAGGGGCTGACATGGCTGAGAGAAGGGACAAGGGACACCACACCCCTGCCGCCTGGGTCCAAGTCCATATTCAACCAGTCACCACTCTGACCTGGGGGACCCACTTCGCCTCTCGGCACCTTGGTTTCCTCATCCGTCAAATGGGAATCCAAGCACTTCACTCAGAGGGTGGTTGTGACAAGGACAGGAAGTAATCCATGCAGCGTCGGGCACCATGCCGGTGGCACAGGAAACCCTGGCTGATGTCATCGTTGTCCTCTGGTGAGAGCTGTAGTGGTAGTGACAGGAGCAGCGGAGACAGCAGGAGAAGAGTCGTCCTGGAACAGTATCCCGTAGAAACGGCACCTCAGCAGTACACGCAACCCAGAACAAGAAGACAAAACTCACCGAGGACAGAGAAAACTTGAACAAAACGTTAACCGACCCATCTAACAAAGTGCAAATAAAATATTCGCCAGGGTGTGGTTGGGGGAAGCAGAGATGGTTCATGGCTACAAAAATAGGAAGAATGAATAAGATCGACCGTTGGCTAGCACGGCAGGGTGACTGTGGTCCATTGTTTAATAGCAGATTTTAAAATCACTAAAAGAGGCTGGGCGTGGTGGCTCATCCCTGTCTTTCCAGCACTTTGGGAGGCCAAGATGAGCAGATCACTTGAGGTTAGGAGTTCGAGACCAGCCTGGCCCATAGGGTGAAGCCCCATCTTTACTAAAAATTCAAAAACTAGCCCAGCGTTGTGATATGCATCTGTAATCCCAGCTACTCAGGAGGCTGATGTGGGAGACTCACTTGAAACCGGGAAGCAGAGGTTGCAGTGAGCCAAGATTGCACCACTGCATTCCAGCCTGGGCATCAGAACGAAACTCCATCTCAAAATAAAATAAAATAATGGAAAGAGGGCCGGGTGCAGTGGCTCACACCTATAATCCCAGCCCTTTGGGAGGCCGAGGCAGGTGGATCACCTGAGGTCAGGAGTTCGAGGCCAGCCGGCCCAACATGGTGAAACCCTGTCTCTACTAAAAAATAAGAAAAATCAGCTGGGTGTGGTGGCACGTGCCTGTAGTCCCAGCTACTCGGAAGCTGAGGCAGAGAATTGCTTGAACCCAGGAGGTGGAGGTTGCAGTGAACCGAGATCATGTCATTGCACTCCAGCCTGGGCAACAGAGTGAGACCCCATCTTAAAAAATAATAAAATTAAAAAATAACTAAAAGAGTACAATTGGATTGTAACACAAAGGATAAATACTTGTGAGGTGACAGATACCTCATTTACCCTGATGTGATTATTACACATTGCATGCCTGTAGCAGAATATCCCATATATCCCATAAGTTATATATGTGCTATACACCCACAAAAATTTAAAATATTAAATTTAAAAAAAATTCACCAAGAGAGACCATATGCCAGGCCACATATCAGGTTTCAACAAATGTAAAATGGCAGAAATCAAACAGTATATTCTCTAACCAAAACACAAATTCGAGTTCAATATAAAATATATCTGGAGAAACTTCACATCCTTGGAAATTAAACAATACATTTCTAAATAAGAAGAAGAAATCACAAGGAAAATTAGAAAATATTTTGAACTGGATGATAATGAAACATGACATATGAAAATCTGTGGGATGCAATAAAAATACTTAGAAGGAAATTTATATTTAATGCCTATATTAGAAAAGAGGAAAGATATAAAATCAATTATCTAAGACTCCATTTTAAGAAGTTAGCCAAAAAATGAGCAAATAATAAACTCGGAGTAAGTAGAAGGAAGGAATAATACAAACTAGAGCAGAAATCAAAGAAACAAAAAGGAACAAAAACAGAGAATGACCAGAACAAAAAGATCAATACATTGAGCCAGATGCGGTGGCTGCTGCCTGTAATTCCAGCTCCTCTGGAAGCTGAGCAGATGAATTGCTTGAGTCCAGGAGTTCAAGACCAACCTGAGCAATGTAGTAAGACCCTGTCTCTAAAAAAACTTATATTGGGGTTGAATATGAGATTTAAAAAATAAAACTTCTAAAAATTAGCCAGGCATAGTAGCTTATACCTCTAGTCCAGCTACTCATGAGGCTAAGGCAGAAGGATTGCTTAAGCCCAGCAGTTCAAGGCTGCAGTGAGCTAGGATCAAACCACTGCACTCCAGCCTGGGGAGCAGAGCAAGACCAATCTCTATGATAGATAGATAGATAGATAGATAGATAGATAGATAGATAGATAGACCCCTCACTAGACTGATCAAGAAGAGAGAAAACACGAAATACCAATTTCAGAAAGGAATAAGGAACGACACTACTAATCCTTTGGACATTAGAAAATTACAATGAATATTCAATAAATTAGATAATTTAGATGGAATATACAAATTCTCTAAAAACCACATATTACCAAACTGACATAAGAAGAAACAAAAAATGAATAGTCCTATATATATTAAAGAAATTTAAATCATAATTTAAAACATTCTCACTTAGAAAACTTCAAGCCCAGACACTTCTCTGTGAATTCTATCAAAAAGTTGAAAAAGAAGTAATATTGATTCTATACAAATTTCTTCAAGAAAATAGAGAAGGAAGGAACAATTTCCTAAATCATTTTATAAGGGCAACACAACCAAAGATATTACCAAAAAAGAAAAACTACGGACCAATACATTTTATGAAAATAGACTCAAAAATCTTAACAAAATATTAGCAAACTGAATCAAAGGATAGTGCAGCATGACTGAGGAGGTTTATCCCAGGGACACAAGGTCCATTTCCCATTTGAAAAACAGTAAGTGCAATTCAACACATTAACAGAATAAAGCAGAAAAAGCCTGATCGTATTTATAAAAAATAATGTGGAAAAGGCATCTAACAGAATTCAACACCTGATCGTGATAAAAGCTCTCAGCAAACTAGGCATAGAAGGAAGCTGCCTCAGTGTGACAGGGGACGTCTTAAGCTACAGTTAACACACTTAAGAATCAAAGACCAAACACTTTCCCACTGAGATCAGGAAGAAGGCAAAGGTGTCCTTTCTCTCCACTTCAGTCAACATTGCACTGAAGTTTCGAGCCAGGGCAATAAGGTAAGAAGAAGGAGAAGGGGGAAAAAGACATGCAGGCTGCAATTGAAAACGTCAAACTATCTCTTGTGTAGACAGTGTGACTATATTCATAGACAGTCTTACAGAATCATATTTAAAATACTAGAACTAATAATTACTAAGAATTGGATCGAGCAAGATCTCAGGATACAAGATCAATATACAAAAATCAATTGAACTTCTATGTACTGGTAACAAACAATTAGAAAATAAAATTTTTCTTAAAAATGACATTTTCAGCAGCATTAAAGATACAAAAAAAGATAAATGCAACAAAATATGTGCAATATTTTTAAAAGCATTGCAAAGAGAAATTAAAACAACCCTTAAAAATGGAGACAGATGATGTTTGTAGACAAAATGATTCGATAATGATGTCAGTTCTCCCAAAATTGATTTATAGATTGAGTGCAATGCCAATCCATCTCAGAAAACTGTATTGTAGGATTAAATATAAGCTATGGAATAAATTTTTATAAAGAAATTCTGAAGAACCTAGAATAGCCAAAACAATTATGAAAAAGAAAAAAGTTGCAAGAAATCCACTACTTGATTTCAAGATTACTGCAGGGCTACAGCAAACAAGACAGGAGGCACTGGCATAGGTTAAACAAATAAATCAATTGAACAGAATAGAAAATCCAATATCAAACTACATGTAAACAGTTGATTGATTTTTTTAAAAAAGGTATCACAGCAGTTCAGTGGGGAAAGTCTTGAACAGAAAGTTCTGAAACAATTTCATATATATAAGAAAATAAATGAACTACAGCGCCTAGTTCAAACCATTCACAAATATTAAATAGAGATGGAGCCAAGACCTAAAATGTAAAAGGTAAAATTGAAAAGTGTCTAGAAGAAAACAGGGGAGAAATTCTTGCCAGCCTTAAGGTAGACAGATATTTCTTCAGGATCAGAAAGTAATCATCATAAAGAAAAAAAAATATGTTAGAGTTTATCAAAATTAAAACATCTCATCAACTGATATCACTAAGAAAACAAAAAGGAAAGCCACAGACATGGAGAAAATACTCACAATCTATGTATCTGACAAGAGACTGTATCCAGATAAATACAGAACTTCTAAAGCTCAGTGAGCAGAAGACAAACAGGTCAGTTTCTGAATGAGCAAAAAAGCCACAAAGCACTTCAGGAAGGAAGAGAGCTGAATGACCCACAAGCAACTGAAAAAATGATCAGCATTGTTAATCCTCAGGGAAGCACCAGTTAGAACCACAAGAAGTCCGGGTGCGGTGGCTCACGCCTGTAATCCCAGCACTTTGGGAGGCCGAGGCAGGTGGATCACGAGGTCAAGAGATCGAGACCATTCTGGTCAACATGGTGAAACCCCGTCTCTACTAAAAATACAAAAAATTAGCTGGGCATGGTGGCACGTGCCTGTAATCCCAGCTACTCAGGAGGCTGAGGCAGGAGAATTGCCTGAACCCAGGAGGCGGAGGTTGCGGTGAGCCGAGGTCACGCCATTGCACTGCAGCCTGGGTAACAAGAGCGAAACTCCGTCTCAAAAAAAAAAAAAAAAAAAAAAAACACAAGAAGTCCCCTCCGCATCTGCGCCAAGGGCACGCAGGTGAAAAAAAGGACCACAGCAGACATTGGCAAGGACGTGGGGCGCAAAGAACGTTGAAGGTGGGATGGGAAATGGCACAGCCTCTTAGGAAAACTGACATTTTCTTCTGAAGTTAACATATGACTCAGCAATCCCACTTTTCGGTATTTTACTCAAGAGATGTGAAAACACACATACACAAAATTACTTCTCCAAAAATGGTCATAGCAGGCTTATTCATTCTAGCCTTGAACTGGAAACAACCCAGACAGACAGAATACTGCACAGCCACACGAAAAGATCTAAAGTCAATCATCTAAGTGTCCATGTCAGGAAACCAGAGAAGGATCAAGTGAAACCCGAACCAAGCAAAGCAAATGAAATCATAAAAGTTAAAATAGTAAAAGAGGAATGAACTTTCAGTACATGCAACGACATGGATGAATCTCAGAAACCTTATGCTGAGTGAAAAAGTACCAGACACAGAAGATCACAGACTGCATGCTTCCAATTACATGCTTCCAGTGTCACGTGAGTCTAGAAAAGGCAAAACTAATCTGCAGTGAAATCAGAACAGTTTTGTAGTGACGGAGCTTAACCAGGAAGGGGCATGAGAGAGCTTTTTGGGGTGGTGGCAAAAGCTCCCTATCCTGAGAGGATGTGAATTACACGGGCTGGACCATGAGCCCTGTTGGAAATAGATGCTCAGTGCCGCGAAGAAAAATTAGCACTGAGACAAAGGATCTTTCAGCAACGCGATTTTTATTTTACTTCCTGGACTTCAGGAAGGGTACTCTTGCTAGCCATCTTGCCACAAGAGTACAATGAACAAAGGAAAACACACAATGTCTCCCTTACGCATTTGGGATTGTTCTTACTGCTGTGTCTGATCTCCATTGGCCGGAGCCAGATCTCACAATTTAAACTAAAACCCAATTGGTTAACAACTTAAAACTTTTCTAAACAGGTAAAAGCAAAAACGTTTCTAAACTGGAACCTGCCTGTGAGCACGTCCAGCACGGATATCCTGGTTAAAGCACAAGGACATAGAATGTACTGTGCCTGTAAGCACGGCATGTTTAACAGCTACATAGGATAGGGCTTAACAAAGAGTTATTAGCACACTTATTCTGTAACAAGAAAGGAAACGTTACAAAGGAACTTTTCTGCTTCCCACAAGCTCTACAGCAAAGATTTGCGCACTTCATTGTGAGTTAAAATACCTCGAGTTTTTTTAATACTTAAAACGTTAAAAATGAAAAGTTTTGGGAAGAGATGTGCTTCAAAAATTAGAATATTTTATATTTTTTAAAGTAATATGATATACACACTGCATCTTCCAAGAACACCTTTAGCAGGGTCTGGGCAGATGCAGAATGAAATAGATTAGCATTCCGGCTACAGAAGCAGACAAATAGTCACACCAGGTCCCACAAATTGCAACACGTCAGTGTGGCTTAGTGTCTGCTATCCAGTGAGGTTGCTGCAGAGCTATCGGGGGGGGAAAATGTTTAATTTTCTGAGTTTGGGAATTTGAATTTTAGCCAAGGAACTCTGATGCTGTTAAATGCAACAGTGAACAAAGAGTGAACTTTGGGGGAGGGAACTTCTGGGGGACCGGGAGGCTTTCTGGGGTCTGGGGTTTCATGGAGATTCTGCTGAGACCTATCTTATGGGTGACAGAGCCCCTCCAGGGCCTGCTGTACCCCAGTGCTTTACAAATGGCCAGGAGGAGGTACACCCTGGGCAGACAAGCTCATCCAGCTTCTGCCGTAAGTGGGGAGGGGGCATTTCCATTCCAGGGACCAGGGGATCAACCCCAAGGAGGATGCCAACAGTCCCACCTATGTCTTCTGCCCCACCAGATGCCCCTCATGCTCCTGGCATCACAAATTTAGTATTCCTTTAGGAAAAACTGCTAGAAATGGAGTTGCTTGGGAAAATTGTGTGTATCTTAAACTTTGGTATCGATACTGCCTTTTAATTGAGATTAACAGAACCTTCCACAACTGCAGATCTATTCATTCTCCCACCACAGGACACCTGCTTGCTGATAGTCAGTGTTCGACCTTTTGCCAGTCTTAGTCAAAGCATTACATCCGTTTTCATTCCGTAAGTATTAGCGAGGTTGCACGCACAGTATCTTCATCGTGTGCGTATGTCCTGATCATTTTACCATGTCTTTTTGGTCGTCGTCTTATTGATTTATAAAGTGCGGACTATTGATCTGGATGTTAACCCTTGGCAGTAGACAGCGACAAACTCAAAACAAAACTTCGCCTCATCTTTCAGCTTAATTGACAGCAATTTTGCCAAACAAGCTTTTTAAAATGTTTATCTTCACGTTTGTCAATCTTTGCTTTTAAGGTTTTTGGGTTTGGAATGATAATTTGGGAGGGGGGGGATTATCACCTACCACCAAAGAATCCTTGGATCAAAAGTCTTGGAATTGTTGAATCACAGACCTAGAAACACTTGAAATTGAGAAATATTGTAATCATCGTTATAAAATCATGTGATCTTAGAAACAGAACTTTCAGGACGTTATATTTTGAAGGGACAGTTCATTCATTCATCTGATTTCTCATTCATTGGTTTAAAAAATTAATGACCTATGTGCTGTGTGCCGGGTACCACAGAGGGTGCTGGGATCTAGCCGTGAATAACCGGACAAGGCCCTGCCCTCCTGGCACCCACCGCAGAGGGCTGCCTTCAGCTGACACTCACTAAGCATCTGCTTCGTCGGAGACTCCTGGGCGGTGCCGGGGACACAGTCGGGACTCCACTCTCCAGCCGCCCAGCTTCCTGGTTTTCCAGCCTCACCTGGAACCCCTCCACAGAAAGAATCCTGGGGAATGCGTTCCCTGCCCTGAGAGCCATTGAACAAAGAAGAAAGCTGGGCCTTGGGGGCTCAAAAGAGGGGAGGGTCAAGGCGGTGATGAAGTCAGGGTTCAGGGTGGCCAGGGTGGGCCGGGGCAGCTAGAATCCCAGGCCCTGCTCTCAGGTAGAGGGAGAGATGGCTCCAGCCCCCCATGTACCTCTGCACAGAAAGCCATCAAGTCGGTCCCGTTCCTGAACATGGATGTGTGGTCCAAAGTGCTGTGGGCACTCACCACGCCCAGCCAGACCCAACAGGAGCAGTCCCCTGAGAAGGTGAGCCCCCACCCCGCCTCCAGGAGCAGCCCCTGCCTGCCCCTACACAGGCCCAGGGGCTCTGTCCACAGGACGCCCAGGGCCCTAGAAAGCAGCTGGTGGACTTGAAGCAGGGGTGGGGACTGGACAGGACTTGAGCCGCATGCGCTGTGGCCACAGGCAGAGGCTTGGACCGTCCAGAGCCGGGTGGTGCGGTGGCTGCAGGGGCCCAGGGAGGCCAAGCGAGCGTGGTCGGGGCGGCTGTTCAGAGGAGGTGGACAAGATGCTGCCCCTCCCGCAGGTCTTCCTGTTCACCTACTACGGGCTGATCCTTCAAGCCAAAAAAAACTGTGCCACAGTCAAGAGACACCTGCAAGCCCTCCTGGAAATGTCACACCAGCGGCCCAAGCAGAGGGAGGTGAAGACCCAGGCCCCACCCTGTCCCACCACCCCCTGACCCTGACCACAGGCTGGGCCTGATGGCTAGTCACACCATGCCCGAACCCTGATGACAGCCTGAGCCTTCTGTTCTCACCCCAGCCTTGACCCTGGACACAAACTAAGCTCTGACCTTGGTCTATGGTTGAGCCTTGACACAGATCACAGGTTCACCCCTGACCCCAGTCACCGCCCTGATCTCAGCCCTCCCACACCGAGCTTGTCATCCCACCCTGGAAGAGGCCTGCTCATAGCCGGCAGCGAGGGATAATGGGCCTCACTCACCTCTGCCTCCTGAGCCCCTCACTCCTCCCACCAGACCCCATAAGCCATGTCCCCCGGGGTGGCTCAGTCACAGGTCCTGACAGCATGGGGTGGGCACTGGCTGCCCTGGAGCCCTGAGTGAGCCCCAACCCCCTCTAGGGATCCCATTCCCCCTCGGTTTTCACTCCTGCCAGGGGAAGAACCAGGTCCAGTCCTGGATTTTGGGATCCCCTCATGAGTGACCCTGGTCCCCACCCACAAGGCATGGCTCTGACCGTGGGGCTGGCGGCCGCCCACCACCTGGATGGCGTCTGGGCCGTCCTGGACCAGTTTGGCCAAAGCAGGCCCATCAGATGGAGCCTGCACAGCTTCCCCTCAAAGGTGTTGGCTCAGAGGTCCTCAGGGATCAGCAGGGGCTGGGACCCCTGCGCCAATACCAAAACCCCCACCCTCCATGAAGCCCAGCCTCTGGGGACTCCCAGGACACTGCCCCATCCAGCAGGAGGGAAGGAGGTAGGTGTGGGAGGGGCCCCCACAAGGAGGGGAAGGTGAGGAGCCTGGACTCCAGCCAGCCCCAGCAGAGCTGAGCACCCCGCACACACCCCGCCCTAACACCCCGCCCAAACTGTGGCCCTAACAAGGCCCAAGCCGTCCCCCAAGGAGCCGATCCCATTCCCCCTGCTTTCTGATTTAAGTCCACGGAGGCCCACTGTCCCCTTAAGACGGACGCCTGACTCCAGGGCCCTGCTAGAGCTGGGCAACCACCTCCACAGCGCCCCAGAGGAGGGTCGGGCAGGGCGCCGACACCCTCACCTGCCTGCCACCCTCGGCCAGGACTCGAAGGACCTGCACTGGAAATGGGCCAGCAGCACCATCCTCCTGGCACACGGCCAGGTGGCGGCCAAGGCCCACGCCCACATCCTCCCGTGGGTGGACAGCATCGTGTCCAGGATATATCGTCTTCTTCCACCACTGCTCCTGGGTACGGCCCCACGGCGCCTACAGGGTTCCAGCACCTGCCCTCCCAACCAAGACCCAGTCCTGAACCCCAGCCCAGCCTCTCAGAGCCAAGAATTCTAGGACGTCCTTAGAGCCCAACCCCACGCCCCACCCCAGCCTGGAATCATGAGGAGCCAGGCCCGGCTTCCTGGTGGCCCCACGATTTCATCCGTCCGTCCCACCGAAAGTTCTCTGGGCTTCATGATATCCCTGCCCTCACTTCTCCTCTTAAAGCAAACCCTGGGTTTTCTTTTGGGGGCTGGGGGTCACGGGTACGGAGAGGCCAGGCTGGCGTCCACCATGCCATGAGGACAGCCCCTGACTCACACTCCATATCGGGGTCTCCAACCCAGGGCTCTGTGAGAGGCCCTGCAGAGCCGCCCCCACGCCAAAGTGGCCACATCGCTGCCCCGGGTCACCACTAATGTGGCCCTGGGGCGTGGGGTTGCCCCAATCTCAGGAGGCTTGCAGGCACTCTCCCAGGGCTTAAACATTGTCAACTTCCGGTCTGAAACAAAAACATGCAGCCCACTCCTTAAGAAGCCCCCCAGGTGCGGGCCCCAGTGGGTGGTCTCTGCTGCCCCCTTCAACCATGACACATGCCCCTTAGATCACAGGCTCACGCTCCTCTCCCCCTGCACACTCCCACACTCTGGGCCCTGACCCTGTCCCTCACGCACTCCCGAGCCCTGAGCCCGACCCTGTCCCCTGTGCCAGGACGAGACCCTGAGGCAGAGCTTCCTCACAGCCTCCCTGATGCTGACGGGTGCACTGAGCCGGAGCGAGGGGGCTCACAGCTACAAGTTCTCCCAGACCTCTGAGCTCCTCCAGTGTCTGATGGTGCGTCCCAGGCCCTGGGCGAGCCTCCCTCAGTTTACCCCCTGGGGAAGGGGTGGAGTGGGTTTCTAGGGCATGCCCTGACTCCAGTGGCTTTGCTCTGGAGCCCTGGTCTCCAGGTGGGGCAGCCCAGAGGCCTCTCCGGGCAAGGGAACGCCAGAGCCCAATCCTGTGGCTCTAGGGGGTGCCAGGCACTGAGGTCTTCCTGGGGTGGGGGAGACCTGACGTTGTAGGTGGGACGGGCCAGGCGTGAGTGGCTTGGTGTCACCTGGGACTTGCAGGTTTTGATGCAGAAGGAGCCCCAGGACACTCTGTGCACACAAAGTCGCCATGCACACAAAGGCCATGCACGTCGCATCCAGCCTCTGGTAGGTCCCCTGCCTCCTGCAGGGCTTCCTGGGCACCACACAGCAGCCTCTCCACTTGCGTTTGGAGCCAGCAGGCGGCGACTTGGGGAGGTCAGAAATAGAGCTCCGTTCTGTGTGCCAGGCTCCATTCTGGGGTCTGAGGACCCAGCTGTGAGCCAGCAGGGAACAGCCCTGTTCTCTAAGAGCTGGCACTTGGTGGGTGGGGACAAACCGTGAGCAAACCACACAGAGGGGGTTGGGGAGCGAGGTAAGATCCTCACGGCCTGAGCGCTATGGGAGACTCTGGGAGGAGAACTGATTTACCGATTTTGGTGGACTGGGCGCCCACACGGGCCCCATGCTCTTCTAGGCTCCAGCACAGCCTGAGGCTGGGTTAGGCAGCCCGAAAAGGGGACTTTTGGGCAAAGACCTGGAAGTCTGCGAGAGTAGCTCTGCAGTGCCCAGCTGAAGGGACAGCAGGTGCAAAGGCCCCGAGGCCGGCATGCAGCAGGCTTGCTGGAGGACCCGCAGGGGCCCGGGCAGGGCTGGAATGGGTGAGGGCCCCGGAGTCACGGGGAAGGTCATCCAGGCTACTGCAGAGCACTGCCTCTTGGCTGAGCGGGGTGGGGCCTTGGGGGAGTTACATTTGGGAAGGAATGTCTGGATCCAGGGTGGGGAGTTGATGCAGCTTCCAAGAGAAATCCAGGGGAAAAGTCACAGGCGGTCCGATTAACAGCAGGAAGTCCTTAAAGGCCGAGCACACTGTGACGGCAGAGCCGTCGGGAGCTGCCGGAGGCCGGGTGCGGCTCGCCAGGGAGGGAAACGAACGGAGAACGTGCCGAGGCTTCACCCAAGCAGCAAGGAGGATGCAGGACGGCCCTGCATTCCCCCGTGACGGGCGGGCTGCGGATGTGGCTGCCCTGGGGGAACGCGCCAAGCTGGAGATGCTCCTGAGACAGAAGCTGAAGGGCGGTGGGCCATTGGCGGCATGGATCTGGGGTTCAGGGAAGAAGCCCAGGCTGGAGGTACACAGTTGGGAGCATCAGCATCAGGACAGCATTTAGAGCCGGGGCCTGAGAGAGAGATGGACCAGGACATCACCTGGCCAGGACGCCCCAGTGCAAGGCCCTGCAGAGGCAGGCGGGCCAGGGAGGCAGATGTGTGCGCAAGAGTCTCTGTGAACAGCAGAAGGCCAGGAGTCTGTAGGGATGAAGGCAGATGCCACTCAGGGACATCCCCAGGCCCCAGCCCCATGCTCACTGCCCTCTGTCTTCCCAACAGCAAGCTGAGGCCTCCCATAGCCTCAGAAAGGAAGTCCCAGCTGTCCACCTGCTCCCGCAGCACGTTTGGCCTGCCGCTGCTGGACGCTCTGGAGAAGCACACCTGCCTCTTCCTGGAGCCACCCAACATCCAGGTGCGGTCCACGGCTCAAGGGCGGGCAGGCTGGACACACCGGGGCTGGGGACCCGGGCAGCTGCCTCGCTGCTCTGAGCACCTGCAGGTCAGCTGAGCGCTATATGCCGCGATGTCTGCCCGCCTGTCCAATGGGGATGATACTAACAGAGCCAATGGTACTTAGTGCTTGGGGACTGAACTGAGACACGGTGAGCAGTGGCGCAGAGGAGCGCTCTGTAGACAGTGGTGTGTGTGGCCTCCCTCCCTGCCTGCCGACCCTGAGAGCGAGAGAGAGGAGGCCAGCAGGTTCGGGCTGTCCAGCCCTGCAGGCCTGGCCGCCATGCTACGTGGCAGGGTCAGGTCTGAGTTTCCACTGAGCTCCCCAGCAGCCCAAGGGAAGCAGAGATGAAGGGAGATGAGCTCCCCAACCTTGTAGGGGTCCCTGCAACACCTGGAGTGAGTCTCCTTCCCTGCAGGGTGGGCCCAGTCTCACCACATAGCTACTAAGTGGTGGTGCTGTGCCCAGGGTGTACCCAGCCCACTCTGCCACCCCAGGAGGCCGGAGGAAGGAGCTCCAGGATTGCTCTCCGGGCCTGGCCAGTGCCCACCCCTTCCTGGGTCCTGTTCAGTAGAAGCCACCCCTGCAGGGAGATGCCAGCCATTGCTTATGGCCACCAGCTGGTACATGTGTGGCTCCTGGACACAGTCACCGCACCTGGCCTCCTGAGGGTGCGCGGTCCTCGGAATGTGGCCAGAGCCAGAGTTAACAAAGCCCCTGCTGGGTGCCAGGCCCTAGCTCCCTTATCTCACCTTCCCCGCAGCAGCCCAAGGTAAAGAAACGCTCAGAGAAATGAGGCTGTCTGGGGGAAGAGGCAGGGTTTGAACCCTGCCTGTGCCCCCAAGGCTGAGTCCAGGCTGGAACTAGACAGGCAGACACTTAGGGTGGGGTGGTGAGCGAACGAGGGTACCCTGGGCCCAGGGCAACACAGCCCTCCAGAAGGGTGGCGCTTCTTGCAGCCCTGGATGAAGACTAAGGCAGTCATGGGCAGAGAAGCGAAGGGCAGGGCCCAGCAGGCAGAGGGCACACGGGGCAAAGGTGAGCAGTGCGGAGGAGCCCAGCGGGTCCTGGGGAAGTCACAGATATGTTTCTGGGACACCAGTGGATCACAGAATCTCCAAATACCATGTACCTTCATCCTACTTCAGAGTCACTAATTATACATGTCATCCTATATCACCTCGATAAAGAGCTCAGATTTGGCCTGAAGCTATTGAACGTGTCTGTTTCGAGATGCCTTTGTAAGCATCTGAAACCCAGAGGCAGAGCGTTGCCTTGGACGGACGGAGCCTTGCGGAGGGAGGGGCTCGGAGCCTTGCGGAGGGGCGGAGCCGGGGCGGGCGGGCCTGGGCCCAGTGGGCGGTACCTGGGCACGTGGTGGGCGGGGCCTGGGCCGACGGCCCTGCAGAACCCTCTCCCTTACCCTGCGCACCCCGCAGCACCTGTACGTCTGGCTGGCATCGGAGAAGGCGCACGAGCGGCAGCGGGCTGTGCACAGCTGCATGATCCTCAAATTCTTGAACCACGGTGGCTACTTGGACGTGAGTACGGGGCCCGCGGGTCCCACGCCCCGCACCCACTTTGCTGGCTGGGCCTCCTGCCCTGAATCACTGGGGCCCAGCCAGAGCCGCTGTCCTGCCAGAGTTCGTAGGGTTCAAGGCCCCCTGAACACCTGCCTCCAGGACAGGCTGGACCCCTGAGTCCCCTGCATCCCGGCCGGGCTCCATATTGACAGGCGGCCCAGGCAATCTCCCTCCTTGCAAGTGAGGGAACGGGTGGGGAGGGGCAGGACCTGCCCGAGGCTTTACAGCTGGGATCTGAAGGCAGGTCACGCTGACCTCTGACCCCTGACCCTGGAGCTAGCCGCCTGCCCATGCACCTGAGGCCTTGTACAGGTGTTTCTCTTCCACAAGCCCCGCCTCACCTGCAAAGTGGATGGAAATGGCCCCTCCCCAGAGGGATATGGTGGGGCTCGGATGAGGTGGAGGCTGTGAGAAGGCTGGTAAACTGCGCGGCCCTGTGCGAGAGTAGGGTTCCTTGCTGCATGGAGTGGCCACCCCCCCACCCCCCACCAGTGCAGCCCTCATCGTCACGTGGCTCACAGCCCCCACCTGTAGCTACTGCCCCGGGCTGCATCAACATGTGGTCCGAGAGTGCGCTGGGCGAGTATCCACCCGAACTGCATTAACTCCCTAGGCAGACTGGGGGGATGGGGAATTTAGTCCTTTGCCCTAATGCCTGGAGGCTGCCTGGCCGAATCAGGGCAGGAGGCAGAAGTGCTGGAGGGAGAGGGGCTGTTCTGCCAAGGGAAAGACCCTGCGCTCCTAGGAGGAGGAGGACAATTAAAGTGGCTTCAATTTACCCAAAATCCATTTCAACATCGCAGGACTGGACCAGAGTAAGGCAAGAAAGGTACTCACTCATCTTGCACACAAAATTTACCATGGCAACAAAAACTCTGTAATCAAGAGCAATCACATTTTCATGTGATGTTTTTAAAGATCAATTTGCCAAGCTATGGCCCATGGGCTGACCACCTGCTTTTGTAAATAAAGTCTTGTTAAACCAGGACCCAGATGAGGGTAGGACAGGCGAGGTGACAGGGTCGGATCCTGACTTCCCTGACAGTTTTGAGACTTTGTCCATCATGAAGTTTTTTGCATTTATTCTGATTTTTCTAAGTATTGCATTAAAATATTATTTCTTTGGATTACTGAATGTCTTGCCCAGTCCCCAGGCCTGGCCCTGCCACACCATTGGAGGGGTCACCTCTGACATAGGCTGCGCTGGGTGAGTGCCTAGCAGAGCTCTGCAGGGAGACTCTGCCATCAGTGATTCCCTTACTCTCAACACAGCCAGAGGAGAACTACAAACACATTGGGCAACTGGTGGGCATACTGCGGATGCTGTGCCAGATCCCAGACAGGGTCACCCAGCGCTACAGCCTGGAAGGGGCGAGCCATCTCTACCAGCTCTTGATGTGCCACAAAGGTGAGCTCTGTGGCATACCAACTTCTGCCCCAACTGCAACCTCTGGCGGACCCATGCCCACACCTCTGACCTCAACCTTGCCCCAAATTTGCTCCAAAACCCAACTCTGATCTGAACCATAACCCTGTAATGGCCTCACCCTAACCCCCACCATTCTGACCCCAGTTCCTAAACTGGGCACAGGCCTGACCCTGATTACAAATGACCCTATCCTAACCCTGCCCTGTCCCAAACTAGACCCTAAGCCCACCTTTGCCCTGCCCTTACCCCACCCTGCCCCTAGCCAGCAGGAGAAGGCTTGCAGGCAGAATTGCAGTCCCCCAAGGAGCTCTCCCAGGCCCATTCGGACGAAGCCCCACTCTGGAGCAGTGGAGACCAGAAAGCCACTCCCCTGGGCCCCCAGGAGATGGCGAAGAACCACTTCTTGCGGCTTGGCAGCTCCCAAGTCATCGAAGTCAAAGGCTTAGAGTGGAGGGCAGGGCAGGGGCATGACCAGAGCACGCCACGTATGGGGGAGTGGCAGGTAAACGTGCTCTTTCTCTCCCGTGTTGTTGAGGTGGCACCAGGAGGGTTCAAGGGGCCAGCACACATTAGATGCCTACTTATTACCTATATCAGGGGCTTCACAGACATTACATCCCTTCCTCAAATTTTATGAACCGCGTTGAAGCCAATGGTGAAGAAATGGTGGCACATGGTTGGTCAGTGCCCCAGTGGAATCTGACCCAGCCCTAGCTACTCCAGAACTTGTGCTCTTGGCATCTGTTGCAAACCACTGTTGTGCTGAGGCCAGTTAGAAGTTCCGTGTGGAAAATCTAAAGCCCTAGGGCCAACTCACTGTCTGTGTCCAGAAAGGAGAATGCCTCACTTGGCTGCAGTTGACCCTGAAGAAGCTGCCCTGGAGGCAGAGGCAGGGCTGGCAAGGAAGAGTTTCATGGGCAGCCAGCTTGGTGGGGTCAGCAGTGAAGGGCCCCCGACCACCCAGGCCCCCAGGCGGGCTGCAAGACGAGGACCACCATGTCCAGGACCTGGGAAGGGGTGGCTGCTTCTCCCCATGTGGTGCCTGCACACAGACCGTGGGCATCCAGCCCTGGCTCTCCCCAGACAGACAGGAGAAGGAGAAGGGAGAGGACAGGAGGGTCTGCTAGTCATAGAACCATCCTAGAACCGCAGAGCTGAGAAGGTGTCAGCTGCAGAGCAGACATAAACCAGCCTAGAACCGCAGAGCTGAGAAGGTGTCAGCTGCAGAGCAGGCACTTTGGGTCTCGGTTCTGGTCCCGAGTTTGTCCCTGACTCCTCATGTGGTTTTGGATACAGGACACCTTTATTACCACCCCCACTGTCGTCATCACCACCAACATTATCACCACCATCACTACCACCACTGCCACCGCCATCATCACTAGCATCACCATCACCATCATCACTACCACCATCATCATCATCACCACACTACCACCACCACCGGCATCACCATCACCATCATCACCACCACTACCATCACCACCAGCATCACCATCACCACCATCAACACCACCATCACCATCATCACCACACTACCACCACCATCACCATCAGAATCATGACCACCACCGTCACCATCATCACCACACTACCACCACCACCACCGCCACCAGCATCACCATACCACCATCACCACCATCACCACCACCATCACCACACTACCACCACCACCACCAGCATCACATCACCATCATCACCACCATCACCATCACCACACTACCACCATCACCACCAGCATCACCACCATCACTATGACCACTACAACCATCACCACCATCACCATTATCACCACCACCATCACCATCACCATCATCACCACCACCACCACCATCTCCACCATAATCATTACTACCATCACCACCACCACAATCATCAACATTATTATCACCACCATCATGATTATTGTCACTGTCACCACACCATCACCACCACCATTTCCACCATCACAATCATCACCACCATGATCACTGTCACCACCACCATCACAATCACCATAACCATCACCACCCTCACCAACAGCACCATCGTCACCATCACCATCCCCATAATCACACCATCATCACCACCACTATAATCACTATCACTGTCACCACTAACATTACCAACACCATCACCACTATCACCACAACCACCATCACCACCAATACCACATCAACATGACTACAACCACATCACCATCTGCATGTCTATGGCCTACACCACAATTATCACCACCATCACTGCTTCTACCGTCACTGCCACTGCCATCTCACATTTATTCTTGCCCTTGATTGAACTAAGATGCCTCCAATGTATTTGCCAATCCTGAGATTGTAGTATTCTGAGAATCTAACCACCATTCCAAGTTGAATTTCTTCACAAACATTCTAAATGCTAACTTTAACCCAAAGGTTAACATTCTAGCAAATGATTTTAATCATCTAACAAATATTCTAGCCAGGTGTATAATAACATAATATTCTTTTAAAAAGTTCTTACCATAAATCTTCCACTAAAATTATTTTAACATTCTAACTATCACACTAATACTCTAACATTCTCACAAACACTGTATCAACATTTTAGAATTAAAAGATTCTAATAAATATTCCAGCATCCACTGGGCATGGTGGCTAACACCTGTAATCCCAGGACTTTGGGAGGCCGAGGCAGGCAGATCACCTGAGGTTGGGAGTTTGATACCAGCCTGACAAACTTGTAGAAACCCCGTCTCTACTAAAAACACAAAATTAGCTGGGTGTGGTGGCTCATGCCTATAACCCCAGCTACTTGGGAGGCTGAGGCAAAAGAATCCCTTGAACTCAGGAGGCAGAGGTTGTTGTGAGCTGAGATCATGCCATTGTACTTCAGCCTGGGCAACAAAAGCAAAACTCCATCTCAAAAAAAAAAAAAATTCTAACATCCAGTATTAACACTTATTTTTATGTTCTAATATACTTAGAAACAACCTAACAGACTTGCAAGCACTCCAACAAATATCCTAACATGCAAAGAAGCATTGCCATCCTGACATCCTTGCAAACGCCCTGATTTTCTATCAGACTTGTAAGCTTTATTCTCTGTGAGGTCTATTGCTGAGTTTAAAATGAGGAAACTGAGGCCTGCATGAGAACAATTAGATGCCAATTTATTGGGCTCCCGGGCAAGGTTCCATGGTCCCGGGGAAAGAGGCCAGGGAAGTCACACCCAACGCTTCTGGGCATGGGCTTGTATAGGGAGTGAAGGCATTTGATTGGTTGCAGGGAAACAGGGTGTGGTCGGGGCAGGCTGCTATTGGTAGGTAGGCGGGATTTTCCAATGGTGCGCTAGGTGCTGAGTGCAGAGCTTAGTGCTGAGTGCAGAGGGGTTTTCCAAGGCCGGTTAGATGCGAAGTGCAGAAGTGGGCGTGTAGCTCCCAGCAAGGCCACCAGCCTTACAAGACAGCCCTCCTATCACTCCTTCACCAGCTTCTAACTTCCTTTGGTTGAATGATGTGCGTCCCCACTGTGCAGAGATCCCTCTGTGAGAATGGCCATATTCTATCTCAGCGCTTCCCATGGTAGCCACTGGCCACAGGGAGCCAGCGAGCACTTGAAATGTGGCTAGTACCACTGTGGAACTGAATTTTTAATTTTACTTACATTGAAATGTAAAGAGCTGTGTGTAGCTAGTAGCACTGCCCGAAGTCTTTCCAGAAAGTTCTACCTGTGCAGCAGTGACCGAACCCCGGTCCCCCCTCCAGGAGGCTACAGTCTAAGATTATGAGGCAGGGGTCACACCTACCATCGTGCATTTCTCGAGAACCCTTTCCTTATCTCTGAGCTCATGACTGCTTGTGGAGGTGAGACCCACATTCCTGCACCTTTAGAGCCACTCCTGGGAGGAGATGGACACAGGGTGGCAGGGGCCTGGGACAGCACTGCCATGGGAACAGGAGCTGGGTCCCGGCCACACCCACCCCCACCTACTCCGAGGCTGAGGGCAGCCCACGCACCCTTCTGGGCCTGAGGCTTGGCACAGGTGACCTTGAAGCTCCTTCACAACCTGGAAGTTCACTTTCTCTTTGATAAATGCTCATAAGGAGGACTGGGCCCTGGCTGCAGGGGAGGACCCCACAGGGCTGAGGCTGGCTGATGAGGAAGTCCTATGGGCAGAGCACAGCCAGGAGGTCGGGGAGACTGGCCCGGCCACACGGTCCTGCAGCAGGCACAGGTTCTGAGTGTGGAAAAGAGCCCAGGCCGTGGTTGGCTCTGACAGATGTGGAAATTCGCACGTCTAGACTGCAAATCGCCTGCAGGTGCTTGGAACCCGGAGGAGAGGGGCTGAGGAGGCCGGATATGCTCAGAGACTTGGGAGAGCCCGGGACAAAGGAGAAGGAGTAAAAGTGGAAGTGGGGAGGCAGGTGCCCTGGCACAGGTGGCCCAAGGTGACGGCCTCTCTCCACCCCTGCTGTACAGGAGATCATGCAGCAGCTCACGCTGGAGGAGCTGAATGACCTCGTCTGGACAGCCATCGACGGCCTGGGCTCCACCAGCCCCTTCCGCGTGCAGGCGGCCTCTGAGATGCTGCTTGCAGTCATCCAGCAGCCCGGGGCCAAGCAGAAGACTGTGAGGGCATTGGAGCCAGGCCAGGAAGGGCCAGGGGGCGGAGGGTGGGCCCAGCGCTCAGCATCCGGGCTCAGGTCCTTGGGCCTGATGGGGGAGACACAGATCCCATCCTGGGCAGCAACTAGTCTGATGAACGAATGAATGAATGAATGAATGGCCCAAGAAAGTCCCCTGGGTCCTGGGTGGTGACTTCAGGGTCTGAGCAGCTGCTGTGTGCCCTAATATGGGAATGGTGGGAGAGGATGGGAACAGCACGGCCCAGCCCTCGGGGAGCTGAGGTCTCGGGGAAGTCAGGGACACACAGGCAGATGTTGCCCAGACAGCATATGGCATTTATTGGTGGGGGAGGGGGACCACACACGGGGTGAGGGGTGCATCCCAGAGAGAGGATGCCCAGTGCCAAGTCTTGCATGTGGGTGAGCTCAGGCAGGGAGATTGGCACTGGGCATTAGGGGCAAGCAGGTGAGACCCCCAAGGAGAAGGCAGGGTACCCCAGGCACAGGGCACCACATGTGCAAAGTGGCATGTTCAGGAATGAGATGGGAGGCGGGGGGCCTGGACCTTCCAGTGCCTGCCTGGGCAGCACGGACAGCATACGAAGACCTCAAATGCCACGCAGAACATGGTGGGACCGGCGCCCCCAGACTGGGACTTCTCTTTAGACCAAGCATCCAGAGCAGGGCTGTGCCCCCACTCACATGGCTCAGGACAGGGCCGTATCTGAAGGGCCTCTGTGCTCATCAGGGCGAGACCTCCCTCTGCCTCCAGGCACCCAGGGCGGGGCCACGCCTCCCTGCCAGACCTCTCCCTCTGCACAGGTTGCCAGCATGGGCCGGGCCATCCGCCTCCACCTGTGCTCCCTCCGCATTCCCCAAGCCAAGGAAGACACCCTGCACGCCATCACCCTGCTGGCCCGGAGCCACACCCCCGAGCTGGTGGCCACCTTCCTGGACATCTCCATGCCCCTGGACAGGTACCTGCCCCTCTTCCCTCACTGCCCACCCCCCAGCCTCCCCCAGGCAGGGTGGTGACCTCTGCCCTCCCGTCTGCCCCTATCACGGCCCACATGGACCCCCACAGGGCTGGGTGTATGAAGGTAACCCACATCTGTTCATCATAGCACGCCTCCTGGGTGGGCACAGGGGAGGCACTGCCCACCATCTCCTGTCCCGGCTCCACATGAAACACCTGCCCCAGCCCAGCCACCCTGTCCTGAGGGAGAGGCCACAGGACCCTGGGTGCTCCTGGCAAGACCCCAGCCCACACCAAAGCCCTACCACCCAGCAGCAAAGCCCTCTGTCTCTCCTCATCCACAGACACTCTCTTCTCCTTCCTGCCCTTCCAGAGACCGCCCACTATGTCCCCCAGAGGCCACCACAGCCCTCTCAGGTGGGGCTGGCTTTTCTCACAGCTCTCAGAGCCCTGGGCCTGGAGGTGGGCTAGGGTCCTTGTCTGCTCAAGGTCCTTCCTTCGCAAAATCCCAGCTCTGGACCCCAAGTCCTCAGTCCACACCCCCTGCTACCCACCTACCACGCACCTGCCCTGGATGGCCCCTCACTGCGGTCAGGGATACCCTCTCGCTCACTCCCCCAACCTGACTCCCAGGGATTTCCCTGTCTGCCCCTCACTCTGACTTCTCAAGGCCCGGATCTCGTCTCTCCAAAGAACCTTGTCCCCCAACCCTGCAGCCACCCACTGCCCCAGCCATCCCTTGGTGTGACCGTCACCAGCTTTAGGCACTTCCATCTTTACAGCTCCCCCCCACAGACCCAGTGAGCCTTGTCCCTGGACCCACCATGCACTGCCCTGTGCCCGTCTTGCTCCTGCTCACCTGTCCCCACTGTCTCCCTCCTTCCGGCCTGGGCACACCTGGCAGGCAGACAGTGACTCCTACACACACACAGGTCCCTGGCCCCAGCTACTGACCTTGCTCCCATTTCACCGAACACTTCGAAGCCACCAGAACAGGGCTGCCACAAGCTCCCAGAGCCCAAGAGTTGTTCCCAGGGAGGTCTCTTAATTCCCATGTGGAAACACACCTGTGGTTCTGTGGGTCACTCCTAGTTCCACCGCACTGTGGTCAGGGAGTGCGGTCTGTCATGATTTTAGCTTATGGAATTTACTAATCTTTTAAAGGCTTTTTGTGAATGTCCCACCGGCACTCAAGAAGGAGGTATATTTTCTGCTGTCAGGGCGCAGAGTTTGAGATACCGGCCTGTGTTGGGACATTACGGATTCGGTTCCAGACCACCACAATAGAGCAAGTCCCATGTGCATTTGCGTTTCCCAGTGCACATAGAAGTTCTGTTTGTACCACACTGTGGTCTGTTCAGTGGCAACAGCATTATGTCTTTTTAAAGAACAATGTACCGACCTTAATTTAAAAATGCTTTCATTCTAAAAGATGCTAATGACCATCTGAGCCTTCAGCAAGTCATAATCTTCTTGCTGGTGGGTGGTGAGGATGGCTGACTGATCGGGGTGGTGGTTGCTGAAGGTTCGGGCATCTAGAAAGTTCTTAAAAGTAAGACAACAATGGAGTTTGTAGCATCGATGGACTCTTCCCTTCCCAAACGATTTCTCTGCAGCACTTGATGCTACTTAAGAGTATTTTACCCACAGTAGAACTTCTTTCAGATTCAGAGTGAATTCTCTCAACCCCTGCCACTGCTTTATCAAATCAGTTTATGGAATATTCGCAATCTTTTGTTGTCATTTCACCAGCATCTTCACCAGGAGTAGATTCCATCTGAGAAAACACTTCCTTTGCTCATCCGTAAGAAGCAGCTCCTCATCTGTTCAAGTTTGATCGTGAGATGGCAGCAATTCAGTCACAGTTTCCGGCTCCACTTCTAATTCTAGTTCTGCTATTTCTACCGCATCTGCAGTGACTTCCTCCACTGAAGTCTTGAGCCCCTCAAAGTCATCCGAGAGGGTTGGAATCAACTTCTTCCACACTCCTGTTCATGCTTCTGTTTTGCCTTCCTCCCCATGAATCACCAGTGTCATTAATGGCATATAGCATGGTGAATCCTTTCCAGAAGGTTTTCAATGTGCTTTGTGCCCAGGTCCATCAGAGGAATCACTATCTATGGCAGCTACCCTCTCACAAAGTGTATTTCTTAAATAATAAGACCTGAAAGTCAAAAGGACTTCTTGATCCGTAGGCTCCAGAATGGTGGTTGTGTTCACAGCAGGGAAGCAACGTCAATCACCTTACACATCTCCATCAGAGCTCTTGGGTGACAGGCGCGTTGTCGATATGCAGTCATATTTTGAAAGGAATCTTTAGTTCTGAGCAGTAGGTCTCATCAGTGGGCTTAAAATATTCGGTAAACCAAAGCTGTCATCCAGGCTTTGTTGTTCCATGTCCAGAGCACAGGCAGAGTGGATTTGGCATCATTCTTAAGGGCCCTAGGATTTTCAGAATGGGAAATGAGCATGGGCTTCAACTTAAAGTTGCCAGCTGCATTAGCCCCTAACAAGAGTGTCCACCTGTCCTCTGAAGCTTTGAAGCCAGGCTTTGACTTTACCTCTCTAGCTATGGAAGTCCTAGATGGCATCTTCCAATAGAAGGTGGTTTCTTCACTGAAAATGTGTTGTGTAGCCACCTTCATCGCTGATCTTAGCTAGATCTTCTGGAGAACTTGCTGCAGCTTCTTGACCAGCACTTACTGCTTTCTTTTGCACTTTTTTGCTATGGAGATGGCTTTTTTCCTTCAACCTCGTGTACCAGCTTCTGCTAGCTTCAGACTCTTCTTTTGCAGCTTCCTCACCCCTCTCAGCCTTCATAGGACTGAAGAGTTAGGGCTTCTCTGGATTGGGCTTTGGCTTAACAGAATGTTGTAGTTGGTTTGATCTTCTCTTTGAACCAGGAAAACGTTTTATCCGTATCAGCAATAAGGCCGTTTCACTCTCTTCACGTTTGTGTGTTCACTGGAGTAGCACTTTTCATTGCCCTCAATAGTTGTTCCTGGGCACTCACAGCCTGGCTAACTGGCACGAGAGTCCTTGCCTTTGGCCTGTCTCGGTTTTCAACATGCCTTCTTCGCTGAGCTTCCTCATTTCTAGCTTTTGATTTAAAGTGAGAGAAATGGGACGCTTCCTCTCCCTTGAACACTTACTTAGAGGCCATGTTACGTTATTAACTGACTTAATTTCGGTGTTGTTTTGCCTTGGGAAATAGGGAGGCCCAAGGAGCCGTCAGAACACACCGAATCTATGGATTCCATTTGGCAGCTTATATGGGCACGGCTCATGGTACCTTAATTACAATAGTAACAGCAAAGATCGCTAATCGCAGATCACCGTAGCAGATTTTTTTCCTTTCTTTTTTAATTTATTTTATTGCATTTTAGGTTTTGGGGTACATGTGAAGAACATGCAAGATTGTTGCATAGGTACACACGTGGCAGCTGTGATTTGCTGCCTTCCGCCCCATCACCTAGTATCTGGCATTTCTCCCCATGCTGTCTCTCCCCACCTCCCCACCCACCGTAGCAAATTAACAGTAATGATGTTTAATATATTGTGAGAATTAGCAAAATATCACACAGAGACGTGAAGTGAGCACACGTGACTGGAAAAATGGCACCAACAGACTTGCTCAATGCTGGGTTGTCACAAACCCTCAACTTGTAAAAACCGCAATATCCGCAAAGTACACTAAAGGGAAGCGCTGGAAGAGGAGTGTCTCCGTGCGCAAGGCTGACCTTGACTGTGTTGTCAAGGTTTTCCACATACTTGATTTCTGTCCTCTCGATTTGTCTTGGACTGAGTGCGTGTTAAAGTCTCAGGAAAGAAATGATAGTGTGTCTCTATGCATAATTTCAACCCCTGGAGTTTTACTTCATGAAGATGGTGGCCATGTTAGTCAGCACACACATATTCCTAAGTATTCTATCTTCATGAACCATGACTTTTAGCATTGAGATGCCCTGCTTTGTCATGCGTGATGCTTCGGGGACTCGAAATCTACCTTCTGTGTTCAGAAGCGTTAACCCTGCTTGTCATTGTTCCCATTTGCCCAGTATGCATTTGTCCACTTCTTTATTGTAGCCTTTGTTTTAGGTCCGCCTCTTACATACGACACAAAGTTCGTCCTGATTTGTGATCCAAACTGAAAATCCGTTGTAACAGGTGAGTGAAGCCTCTTGATATTGACACCATTGATATGTTTGGCCTATCACAACATTTTGTAGCTGTGTGTATTTCACTACATTGCTATGTTTCTTTTTCTACAAGATGTGCATTTTTTGCTCTTTAACTTCAATTTTGTTTTAATCTAGGAAGTGTATTTTTGTCCTAGTTTTTATCTTTGTGCTCCTGACCTATTTTAATGCCCTTAATCCCCATTTTTATTATTCAGCCCTTTAATATGAGGTTTATCTTTTTTTTTTTTTTTTTTTTTTTGAGATGGAGTCTCACTCTGTCACCCACCCAGGCTGGAGTGCAGTGGTGCAATCTCAGCTAACTGTAACCTCTGCCTCCTGGGTTGAAGCAATTCTCCTGCCTCAGCCTCCCAAGTAGCTGGGACTACAGGTGTGCACCACCACAACCAGCTGGTTTTTGTGTTTTTAGTAGAGACAGGGTTTTGCCATGTTGGCCAGGCTGGTCTTGAACTCCTGACCTCAGGTGATCCACCCACCTCAGCCTCCCAAAGTGCTGGGATTCCAGAGAGGAGCCACTGTACCCGGCCAGCTTTGTCCTTTTTATTTGATACTGTTCCAGGGCAGGTAAACCCCAAAAGTGGGGCTTTCCCCAGGAAGGTTCTTGGTTTTGTCCAGGAAAACACTCAAGAGCAAGCCCATGGTGTTAGACAGCAACTTGGATCAAAGCAGCCATGCACAGCAGCAGCAGAGGGGCTGTTCCTTACACAGCAGGGACACCCAGAGGCAGTGAATCCAGAGGAGCAGCTCAGAGGCACCTCTGCAGTTATGTGCAGATTACAGGGCAGGTGATGCAGAAACTTTT